ACAGTTTCAAATGTAATAGCTCATATTAATACGAGAAACAAAAATATTGTACCTCTTTTTACGAACATTGCGCGAACGGAGAAGTATGAAATTTCGCACATTTATGGTTTATATAGAGAAGAATACTGAATAATAATATTTATTTAATTATTAAATCCATTAAAAATAATTACACATACTACTGTGTATTGCCACATACGCATAGAAGAATAGACTATGGCAATAGAATTTCGACCGTTGAGCGACCACTACTAAAGTTAAAATCAAAAGGCAAGAACTCAACTCAAATCTTTCCAGAATTGATATATGTACAAATCCGTTTATAGTTTCATAAAAAAATTTCAAGAAGAAATAAGCGACAGACCAAAGAAATTGTACTGAAATCATTTTGCTTGTAAACATAATATATAAAGCCAATTTAACATTAGATTAATGCCTATTTTATACATCCGATATTATAAAAACGGGTGAACCATTCCATTTTGTTCAATAGCACATTTCACACACACATTCCATGCTTGCTGCAATAGATTTTTTTCATATGTACACCCCAGATTCAGATTTTTTATGTAAATACACCATAACTATTAATATTTTACACGTCTCGTTATACCTTTATAAGTATTTTACATGCGTGATTAAATAGAAAGCAATAGATTTAGATATTTAATTAGAACTGTCTCCTAATTTTGTTGCAAGTCGTTATAATTACGTCCGCCATTTTGTTTTTATCGAAAACTCAAGATGGCGCCACCTGTTGAATTTGTACCGAATTTTTAAGGCGTGTTAAAGGAATTTCTACTCTGATAATTGTATATTACGATTCATTTAAGTGTACCTAACATTTATTAGCGTGTACTTAGTAAATCCGAACCAATATAGTACAAATGGGTACACGACAGATTTTACTTTATCACCAATTTCGTTTGTAAGTCGCCTGCATATATTATGTGTTGTTTCCTATTGTTTAGTTTGACTATTACACTGTTATTGGTAAGTTTTGCGACGATTAAGTAATAAAATGTCTTATTGCAATAGTTATTTGTAAATTTCGCGTTTAGTACACATTGTTGATATATTTTGTCAAATTTTATCACTTATAATGTAATGGAAGGAAAGTATTTACATCACTCGAGTTTCAGTTTCGATTGCGCTGTACTGACACTAGTACTGGCGCCAGTAGTTTGTATAAACTACTAACATGTAGATAGATAGATTTATAAATTATTTATTCACCAATTACAAACACTTAACCTAAAATGTACAAACTAAATTAACATACAAATAAAAGAAATAGAGGTATCTTTATGTGCCGCAAACGTGAATAGGCCACCAACTTAACATCAATATTTGACGTTAGTTTCTGTAAGGACAACACTGTGACGTAAATACTTGATTTACCATTAAATTATTGATATTAAGCCTAGACAAATTACATTAATAATCTGTTTCTCAAGTTTAAAAAGAAATCAGGGGACCAAACCTCTGTAGCGATGTATGCGTGTGACAATGTCACATGTAGATGTATGTCACATGTACAGGTATGATGACGAAACGAGAATCCATGTAAGTTTGGCTAAATACGTAAATATTAGTAACTAAATCTAATATAATTAATTAGAATTATTGAACATCGTGAACACAAATAGGTAATTTCAGTAAATGTAATTTGTTAGCAGGCGTAATTATATAACGTTGTTGCTAACGAATCTTATTTGAAACAGATTAAAATAGACAGTTTTGCGATCCCCAGTGCCCAGACTAAAGTCGTATCCGCCAAGCGGGAGTTGGCCTACAGCCGCTCTATAAATCCTTCCTTAGTTTGGAGTGCCATCTGCACTCGCCCCCTATCGTCCGGTGAAGCTGTAAAGGCCAGCTGCGGCCAACAGCATTAGAGTAGTCCAAAAAAAAAACTATTTCACAATTGCAATAATGATTCGTACAAGTTACAACTCTTAATAAATTGCAAAACCGTAAATTGTAATCTGTTTCAAACGATAATTGTTCGCAACTGTTATATGTATAATACAGGAGCTGAACTTTAATGGAAATCGTTGCAAACACCAATAGCAAACGAAGAGTGTTTTAAAAATTTATTAATAATTTAATAAAAATAACATAACGACCAGTGTGGTGGCTCAACTTTGGATATAAGGTACCTATTATTAGCCACAACCCCTTATAAATTGAAATATTTGTATGTTAGTGTCCACGAAACTGATGTATTTTAATATATACACTTGCAACACTGAATAAACTACGAAAAAAAAATGAAACAAAGCATACGAAACTATAAATTAATAAAAATATATATTTCTAGGATAATGAATAAAGAAATTTATTTTTCTCATAATCTAAACTAATTAATAATTAATTAACAAACAAAATTCTTTCTTCTCTCTCTCTCTTTAGTTTTAACGTTAAAATATTTCAGTTTCGTGTTTTTTTTATTATTTTTAATGTAAGATACCATTCGAAAGTGTTGTGGGGACATGTTTGTAATATTAATTTAAACGTTGTAATTTTTTTTTATACAGTTAATTATTGTATAGCAAATGTATATACTTCAATAGTTTATTCAATTCCATAAATGTCTACAAATAAATATATTCAATACCAAAATATGTAACACAAATAAAGAGAATTCTGGGCAGACATTTCATCTAAGATATTGTACCCACTGCATATAATTTGAGTCTTGTTTTAAATATTAAATTGATACTTTACCACGAATATAAACTATTGTTTCAAGTAGTTACACAATACTAATGTATAGGAAACTTTTATTGCATAATAACTATATTATCTACTAGCTATGCCAGCGACTTCGTTCTAATGAGTAATGTCCATTTTATCCCCTATTTTATTTTTCTCTCTTAAGGGTACAATTCGTACAAACTTTGAATATCATATTGATAGTCAAAAGCATAAAAAAAACTTCTAGCTTTAAAAATGACGATACTTCCATAGAACGTTTCATCTCGCCTTTCACATTAAAAAGTAGCCTATGTCCTTTCTCAGGGTCTAGACTATCTGTATACCACATTTTATTTATATCGGTGCAGTAGTTTTAGCGTCAAAGCGAGACAGACAGATAGTTACTCTCACATTTATGATATTAGTAACGATAAATATCGTCACATTACAGAACAACGTACCTAAAGATTTAATTTCGATCTACAGATTTTTTGTTTAATTTATGTTAAACTTTAAATTTGAATCAGAACTTGATTACCTCTTGTAACATATATAAAACTGAAAGTTTCAATAAGAAATGAAGAAACTTTTTAAATATTTGAATTACTTATGAATAAATGCAATTTACTTGCTTATCAACCATATATGAGAATGATATGGAATTACCTACCTACCTATACATTTTAGGCAATCTTCAAAATTGTTAAATATTACAAAATTTTATTAAATTGATTTTATATGAACATTTGTTTGAAAATGAAAGTAATATAATAGATTTTAAAGTTACATGCATCAAATTAATAATATTCTATTATGGTAACAAAAAAATTGTATGAAATTTAATTTTATCTTAACATTTACTTTTGACTTATAATTTTGTAACTGATGAGTTGAATGTACATTTATGTAGTTTTACATGCCACATATAGAAATATGAAATCTGTATAAGCTATTTGTTATATTACCACTGGCAATACTAATTCTATGTTAGATTATGGCAATAATAACCACACCTCTTTGACAGTAATTATTTGGCTGAAAGGAAATTTCCAGGGCCGTAAAAATACTTAATTAAAATAAAAACTTTTTGATATTGGTCTACGATTCCATCTATTATTCGCTCTGTATAATTTAATTAATAGTTACATAAATAAAGTGTTTCAAATTCATGTAGGTCTATTACAGACATTTATGATATGTCAAATCTACCGTCAGTTCGGAATGATTTCGAGATGAGAAGAACTGACAAGAAACTCAGCTCGTATTCTTTTCAAATAAATGTTATACCTACATTCTTTACAATAATACAGATTCATTTTTAAATTTAAATTTTGGAGAATAGATTCTGAGAATTAGTTTTATTCAGTGTTAATTAATTATTCCTCATACAAAATATAATACTATTGAAGTAATACATTTAATTAATATTTAATTGTCACCATTTTTAATTATAATTATAACCAATATCCATGTTCCCACAAACGATTAGTTATAAATTTATTGAATCTACCTCAACCAAATTACCCATTAATGTTGTTTGTAAGTGTTCTTTTGAGTCTTATTATTATTATTAATAATAACTGAATTGTAGTGTTTTTTATAATAAAGTTATTATTAATTCCAACATCCCCTTTTGATATGGTAATTATTGTTACCAAACATATTGAATGCAAGGTCAAAGGTGTTGTAAAGGTAATGTCATGATTGAACGATATTAAATTTGAAAGTATATAAAAAGACTTTTATTTGATTTCCTTTTAAAATATATCACCCATAGCACTATGGTAAGACAACGAATATTTTTAAGCATAAGGGACAACCGATCTTCCTGCTCACATGATGGTAAGTGATTACCGCCGCCCATGAGCACCCGCAACACCTGATGCTGTAGTGGTTCAAGGGTTCACCCCAGAAGAATGCCGGAAGAACCAGAACGAACCAAGGGAATTGCAAGTACTTTGCCGGCCTTTTAAGAAGGAATAAATTTCTTGAAGGTTTCAATAAAGTATCGAATCGGAAATAGGCTTTAAGAATTAGAAATCCTTTGAATACAACTAGCCCTAGAGAATATAGCATGAGGTTTTTAAAGATATACAGGTTTTTTAAGTGTCGATAAAGTGCATGTGACCAACCCTTAGGCGTCTATAGGCTACGTTACGTAACCGTTTACGATCAGATGGGCAGAATGCCTGTCTGCCAACATCGTAGTAAAAAAAACACAATGATATAATAAAAAAAACACATAATTTTAGGTTTGTTTAAAAACAAATAGAAATTAAACAAAATATTATATTAATACAAATTTATTGTTTGTTTCGCAACTGAACAAGTAGACTCTGTCGGCAGAGACGGGAAACTGCTCCTTCGTCTTTGCGTCGCAGCTTGGCAGCCAGCCGCGCCAGGCTGAACCGAGATCTGGAACGACTCTCGGGGCGACCTGTTTCAAATTAAGTATAACTTTAAAATTGGGACAGACCAAAGAAAGAAGAAACATAACATTACCTGCCTTTAGACGATATGTTATTTCACGCGCGATCAGAAGTGCACGCGATTTTGGGCGGGAAAATCAGCGCACGCTATTGTGACAAATAGAAGTCGTTGAACTATTTTTTTATGTTTACTCTTTCGCGCGTTTTCCGTTTGAATCTTGTCATTTCACTTTCTTTAAAAAAATTTTTTTTTTATTCCACAGATTATATTTATCCAAAACCACGTTTAAGTTTTGTAAATTATCAATAATTCTATAATCATTTATTTATTTATTGACATCAAACTAAGCGAGCCTTACAGCTTCCCAATATGCTCACTTAGGAAAAATTATACAAATATATGAAATATTAATAATTACAAAAAAAATATATATTCAAACAATTTTTGTTCTATAGTCAGATGTTATGTTATGCGAAGGAACGAGGACCATGTCTTATGGAAAGTGCAGAATATGAATGTGGATGTTTGTAAAGGGAGGGGACGCCCTAAGAAAAGATGGATGGATTGTGTGCAAGATGATATGAATAAAAGAAGAGTATGTTCAGATATGACGGCCGATAGAGAGCAGTGGAAGAGAATGACATACTGCGCCGACCACAAATAATGGGATAAAGGCAAGGCAATGATGAGTCAGATGTTGCAATGATTTATTTCAAAAAGACGCTACAGCTCGCATGAATGACGGACGCAGGATTACTCGAGTTGGCGGCGCGCGCTATATTTCTCTTTCTCTCTATCAACAGACGTCAGACGTCCCGTATTTCCCGGGACGTCCCTTATTTTAGGATTACTTTAAAATGTCCCTGCGGGACTGACTGTCCCCTATTCGAATCGTGCTCCGTTTTTCACTATTAAATTAATCGATCTACGCTTGATAATTTGTCCCGGGTAAAAAACTAAATTCCCATATTTTTTGCCTATTTGAGCGTTGGCCCCATATAGGCTGAGAGAAATCTGGCAACTCTAGTCTACATGCTCATTCTTTCATGAACATTCGCGAAAAGCTAGCGTGTAAGTTACGTTAAAATGACAAAAATAAGAAATATTATATGATTAATTAATTTTATTCCAATGTAACGTCCAAAAAGTCGTTTTACACATCAGTGGGTACATCAGTCCCACTAAAATACAGCTGTCAAACAGCTTTTTTTCTGAGCTGTATTTCGTTTGATATATCATATGAGTAAAGGCAAGAGAAAATGGAAGTTTGAAAGGCAGTTAAAGTACAGGATAAAAGGCAAGACTGACGTAGTATCTTCCAGAATGGCAACTCATGAGCCATATCATGATCACGTGATATCCGTAATGCGTTCCATGTAAGAATTATAAATTCTTGAAAGCATATAAAAGATAGGACATAAATAGGATAGGATATAAAAGATAGGATAGGTAATAACCACAGATAGCATGTACAACTAACAAACTAGTGATATAACCAACAAACTAGTGAGAAGCTTAGTTTAAAAGAAGAATGAAAAGAAAAAAAAGATAAAAGTTTAAAAGAGCAAAAGGCTCTTTTAAACTAAATCTTGTACAAATTTGTATGTTAAATATTTTGTAGGAATAGATACTAATTTGTAATTAGGATAATATCCAGTCATATCCATGATATAGCTATAATAAATTTTATCTTTACATATAATTATGAAGTCACGCTGTCTGTTCGCTTAGATCTTTTAAACTACGCAACGGATTTTCATGCAGTTTCGAGCAAGACAGAGTGATTCTATCATAATACGTATATACACATGCAAAGCCATGGCGTGTAGCTAGTAAATTATAAATACCTTCAGCAACTCGCTGCCACGCTTCTCGGTCAACATTCACCATTCCGGTGGACGCGCTCCGGCCTAAGACTGACTCTTGATTGCCATGACTCTGTGACTCAGTGACGTCACTCTCGCAACTGATGCGGCTGGACCTATAAATGTGAAACGGTATTAGAATAATACAAGCAACTCTTTGACGACCTCGTGGTCTAGCGGTTTGGTACACCGCTTTACGTCCGGTACAAACATTTGTATTCATGAATATGATTGTATCGGTCTGGATGTTTTCTATGAATAATTTGTATGTATTTACGAAAAAAAAGTTCAGTTATCAAAAAAGATAGTTATATATTATAGTACCCATAATACAGGCTTTAGCTAGCTTACCTTGGGTCTAGATGGCGCTGTGGGAATGGTCGTCAAATATATAATAATTACTATGGACAAGAAAACTAGTGAGACAAAATTTGGAACATAGAACTAGTATACAAAGTAACATAACATATAACACATTTTTAAATAAATAAACGATTTTAGATGTTGCCATAACGATGGCCACATGCGAAGCTGCAGACAATTAGTACTAGTATTTAATATGTTACTGCTTTATTTAGTTAAAAAATATTCTTACCTATCTCCAGGTCTTAAATCACTGGTAGAGCTAGTCCCTTCTCTCCTGATTGGTCCGGGTGATGATAAAAATCTTTCCCTTGCTGCTCTAATCCTAGCTGCTCTTTCCGATAACCTCATTGTAGCTACATCAGCTTCAGCCGAGGACGTAGTTTCTACAGTAGATATAGATCTCTCATATAAATAAGGATTCTCTGATATTAGTTTTGTTAGACTTGGTACTATTACTTCAGACATTTGTCTAATAACAGGAGCAGGTTGACTGCCGTTGTTTGGGTTACTTTGAAATTCGGGTAGGTTTTTTGTTATATCCGGGACTATTGTGTCTGTACTTGCTCTACATCTTAGTGTTTCTTCACTATCCACTTTCTTTTGTTCCAATGCACAAGGAGATTCAACTGGTAATTGTTCTGGGTGAAGAGCATTTGCACTTTGTGATTTTAAAACCCCATCAAGAGACTGCGAAGGTGTTGGTACAAGGCGTTTTTCAGCAGACGTTTGGTCGCGTCTGGAGAGCTGGCATGCACTGGCGGACTTCTGGACTTCCCTTTCAAGAAACGGGTTATTCCTGCTTGTAAAATTATTTATAATTAGTTCATAAATTTTATATAATAATAGTAAGACGTATCGTATAACTCGTTACAGCATAATTGGAAACATCTATACTATAATATTTATTAATGCTAGTCAATTTTTCCCATGATATAAGAAGACTAGGCTACTCTTAGCATGGTAGCTAGGTAATGTTGGTACAGTTAGAGCTTATTTTCTCGTGCAGTATTATATTGTGATTGTTATGACTGTTTAAAAATGAAATATCGTGTTAAGAAACATTTAATTCTTCTTTCTATACAACACAGAGAATCGAAATATATTATTTTATTAAAAAAAACTTACCTTATATTAACCCCAACAGGCATATCGAGAGGGCGTCGCCTTTCTGCAGCTGGAGACCGCCAAGCTGGTGAAGATGCACCACTACTGGGCCCAGATGTATGACCTGGGATTGTAAATTATTTTTTATTATTTGTATGTGATTTCTTATTGGTAGTCATAACACTGAAATAAAATATACCTTCTTCATTAATTTTCTTATTATACCGTTGAATCATAATTCGAATAGATGGTGCAGTCTCTTTTGGTTGTGGTTTTCGTTGTGAAGATGGTGATAATGGTAACGGTGGTCTTGATCTTGTTCGCTGTTCCTCATCTTGAAGATCTCCAGAGTTTTTAGTATTTGCATCAATTTCATACCTTGGTTTTCCTTGTCTTTCTTCTGTTCGTTTTACATTGTCTGCATTCTTATAATTTATACGATGATCTCTTGGAGATCTTACTTCAGCCAAATCTTCAACGTTTAAAGGTATAACAGCTCTTGGTATTGATTCGCCACTTCTTACGACAGGTGAAAATATTTTTCGTGTTGTTTTAACTATTACTTCAGGTGAGCCTTCTCGCAGTTCAGGAGCTTTTAATTTAAGAACATATACCTAAAATCACGATTAAATATTCTAAGTATTGAATGGCAACCAGGATATTACATATTTGGTTTTAAAAGAACTAGCATTTATATCTCATTTTAGATTTTCTTACCTCTCCTTCAGAATCCGAGTGGAAATGTGCTGTTGGTGGAGTTCTTGGTCTTTCTGATGCACGTCTTGGCCTTTTTCTACGTCTTGGAATCTCAACTGTAACAGTATCTACATCTTGCTCTGTATCACTCTCGGAAGGCTTCGATTGTTCTCTTTCTAATCTTGATCTCGATTTACTTTTCTTTTTACCATTACTTTTATCGATTTCTTTTCGTTTGCTTTCTTCTTTCATATCTATATACTCTCGATCTTTTTCTTTTATTATTGAACTAGATTTCGAATTTTTCTGACCAAGTCCTTTACTAGTTGATGGTGCCTCTTTATCAACATCATCCAATTCACAAATATTAACATCGGTTTCAGTTATTATTTCTTTGTCATCTTTAAAACGTGAGGAACTTCCTCTTTCTATCTCTTCTATCGTCTTTCTTATAAACATGGCATCTTCTTCTATGCTAGGTTGTCGAGAAACCTTTCTTCTTGGATTAGAATTCCTCTCAGTTTCATTTACCTTAAAAATAAGTATTATTACTTTTTATGGAGAAAATAAAATATTTTAACATTAAATAGTGTTTTACTATTTTACCTGTTCCCGTACTGATTTATTATTAGCGGCCGCTTGTTTTTTTTGTTTAATGCCACGGGAATCTGAAAGTGCAACTACTGAAATTGAAAAATAACACATATATGAATAACATTTAAAAAATATAAAATAAATGACAAGGTCAAATAAAACTTCTAATTTAGTGTTCATGCTCTTTATATTATGTAAGAAATACACAACTTTTTTAAAGTCTATTACATATTAAATTAAGGAAACAAAAATCTCACCAGCACCATTAGGTTGTAACACAGCTGTGCCAGTTACAGCTGAACTAGTTTCACACAGAAGTCTTGCTTCAGCCTGACCATATGTGTAAACTGGTTTTTGAGGAGTGTGACGTGGGGAAACAGCCATCAATGGTGCTGCTGTACAGACCTCCTCAGCTTCAACTTCAACTAATACCGCTCCTCGCGTGTGTTCTTCTTCACACTCATCTATACCGTCGACCTGAGAATAATATCAATGTTGATTACTTTTATTTACAAATTTTATTTGAAACGTTTATTATTCTTACTATAGATGATTTAATAAGTATAGTTTAAGTTTTTAAGGTTGTAAATATTTAGGTTTTATTTAATGAGCTATTAGTTAGTATAACAGTAATAACATAGTATTAGAAATAATTCCACGTGGGATCATATTTGTTAAGACATGGCATAAAGTAGTAACCACATTAAGACATAGTATATACATGAAGTGTATAGGATTTAATTAAGAATACACTGTGACCTCACGATGAAGTTTATAGTTGATACGCTGATGTTATCTATTCGACTGTGCCATGAGTACCAATATTTATATTGAAATCAGTACTTACAGATTGTTCTCCCTCATACTCCGATTCGAAATCATCAGCATCATTGACACTCAAACTTGATGCGTGAAGACGTCCAGAGCCACCAGCTGATGGGGCAACACTGCCATCAGATTGCGTACGTGTGAGGGTTGTTGGAGGAATTTTGGTTCGAGCACGAGCAGCTCTGAGAAGGGCAGACGTGGAAGCTTCAGGAGCTATCCCACGGGACTTTTCCCATTCGTGGAGTTTGCGTGTGAAAGAACGGGATATGCCTGGGAAATATGTAGAATACATTTAGTTTTTGTAATATTTTTCAGTGCTTGATGTTGAAAAGAAGCTGAAAAAAAATAATTCTTTATAGTTTTGAATTCATTGGTGGTTTGTTATTCTTAATTATGACAATACCTTGAAATTTGAAGAGACCTGTAGAGGTTTGAACTAATACTTCATCTGGTTTTGCTTGATCTTCCCAAGCTGGTACAGAATTCGTTTCTTTCATTCGTTTCCATTCATCTGAAATTGTCAATAATAAAATTTAAATAAAAGTAAGAAATTCCCTTGATTGTTGTAACAAAATTTCTTAACTTTGAATTGCTAAGAGTGTAAACAACAATAAGCATATATCACGCTATAATTCTAGACGTAAGTCTGAGGTCTAGGTCAACTATGGACATTGTTATCAACGTAATACTTGACATACCCACATTTCGGTGAGAATATTTGAATTTCTTGTCACAGTAATCAATATACCGCCATTTTTAAAGTTTATTTAGATTGACTTGATCACTTAAAACCAGTAAATTTAATCTGTAAATTCACATGCCAATAGATGAGGGTCTATAGGAAATAAGGGACATTGTACTAAATCGCTATATCAATGAGGTCGTCAAAATGAAGTAGATAAATATTTAAACACATTACCCCATTTTTTCAAGAAATCTTCGCTCAGATCTTGTCTGGCCGGTACTGGGGGCGGTTGCTTCACTCCTTTCATAAGTTGCCATTCTGCTAGTTTCTTTCTAAAATCTGCTGACAATTGTTCCTCGGTCGCCACAGGTCGTGATGCTGCAAGTTTAGGATTCGATATATCGATTGTGATTTAATTCATCATTTCGTTAAATATACAAGTGCTGTTTGCTAAAGCTAGTCTATTCTAAGTGTGGCCCACGAACCAGGAACAGGTCAAGGTGCCAAATTTCTTCCCGGTCCAAAATATGTGTGTATACATGTTTTGGACCAGGAGGAAATTTAGCAAAATATATTTTTTTTATTTGCGAAGGTTTCTCTTAAACCCACCCTCGTAACCGTAATTGACTTCCAATAAGATTCATAGCACAAATTTTTTAATTACTTTAGATGCTCTCGAGGGAAATTCTGTGAGGAAATAATAAACGAAAAATTTCTTTTATTTAATAATCTTAACTTTATTAATAGCATATTTGCTGGTCGTCACTATATTCGCCCAAAACTTAAGTTTTAATATGTATATAATAATACATGGGTATAATAACCTACTCGTATGTTAATTCGTTTGAAAACCGTAAGAGCACAGGCGTTTGCCTATTCTCTTTCGTCCATATTACATTTAGACCTGACATTGTATCTTTGGGATTACTCCACATTGCCCCAATATATTTAGTTATTTATTTAGTACGACATGATTATTAAACTTACTGAGTTTCCCTCGTCGATCAGAGAATTCTCTTCTCAAACGAGACTGCAGGGCTGCGTAATCTCTGGCGATTTCCTCTCGAACTCCACTCGCTTCACATCCACTGCTTAGACCTTCAGTTTCTGGAATAGTGGGGATATATATTTTAACTAGCTGTACCCGCGACTTCGTCCGCGTAAAATAGTGACCTTGACCAAAATATTGACCTAACTCAATAAAAGCCAAATGAAAAAGTTTTATCGTTTTAGCTTCAAAAATGACGACACTTCCATACAATCTTTCATAACTCTTTCAACCCCTTATCTCTTTATTTATAATATCTTTTTTTTTTAGTATATATTTCAAAATTAGGCTAAAAATTAAAATTCAAGTGTCTAGCTTCAAAAATGACGATATTTCCATATAAACATTTAACTCTCCTTTAATTTCATATTTATTTACATTTAATTAGCACGAAAATGAGTTTCAAACTTCTAGCTTCAAAAATGACGATCCTTCCATACAACCTTTCATCCCCAATTTCAACCCCTTACAACCCGTTTTTTGCTTTAAAAAATAGCCTATGTCCTTTTTCAGGGTCTAGACTATTTGTGTACCAAATTTCATTTAAATCGGTTCAGTAGTTTTGGCGTGAAAGCGAGACAGATTATAAAGTTACTTTCTCATTTATAATATTAGTAAGGATATTAATAAGGATTATCAAGTAAAGTTATCAAGTAACTTTATATTAATACGTAAAGCAAAAACATTGTACTCAGTTTTAAGAAAATTGCACGGACCGAGGAGTATGAAATTTCGCACACGTAATTTTATAATTCACTAGCTACTCGCCCTAGTTTCGCACGGGTATATGTATTATATATAAAAACCTTCCTCTTGAATCACTCTATCTATTAAAACCCGCTTCAAAATCCTTTGCGTATTTTTAAAGATTTAAACATACATAGGGACAGACAGCGACAGCGACTTTGTTTTATACTATGTAATGATATAAACTCTATATAGAGTGCAGAAAGCTAATATTTTCTTAAGTAATGCATATAAAATAAATTAAATAAAAAAGAAGACATTACCATGTATTTGACACAAACAAGTCTAGAATAGGACTTTGACAATAGATGCTTAATAATGTTCAAACTTAAAATTTAAATTAATTATGGTTGAATTTCGACCGCTGGTCAACCACTAGTATTTATAAATACATTTTTAAATAAAATATACCACAGATAGTACCCATATTTTCCAATTTTTATTCATGTTAATCACCTAGACTTCAAGTTATACTATAGATATCTTGTAAACTTTACAAGATATCGTTTTTTTTTAATCTCTATTAAAAAAAAAAATGACACGCAATGACATTTTGAATGTAATAATACCTATTAAAGAAAATTTATTTTGAGTTTTTGAATAGAAATATGTAGAAAAAGATCTTAATAATAATAGAATACGTTCAATTCAAAACAATGTAAGTATTTTATTCTAATGTGCATATGATAAGGGTCCGCATTGCGCATGTGACACCTGGGGTTTCAGTCCTCCATAGGTGGTAAACATTTACCATCAGATTGGCCGTATACTTGTAAGGTATAATAGGAGTAATATTGTTATATAAATAATATCACCAATATTGTTATATAAATAACTAGCTTTTAGCCCGTGGCTTTGCTCGCGGTAATTTATCCTTAGGTTTGAATTTACCAGAATCCTTTCTTAGAGGATGCCTACGTCATAGTAGGTTTATGCATGCAAAGTTTCAGCCCGATCGGTTTAAATTGACAAAGTTTCATACAAAATTTCATCCCCTATTTTATTCCCTTGGGGTAGAATTAAACAAAATCCTTTCCTAAGCGGATGCCGACGTCATAAGATCTACCTGCATGCCAAATTTCAGCCCGATCTGTCCAGTGGTTTGGGCTGTGCGTTGATAGATCACTGTGTCAGTCACCTTATATATATATATATATATAGATTTAGATAAAGGTTTTAAAAAACCTTTCTCAAGACAAACGGCTAGTGCAACCTAGTCTAAAAGACGAGAAAGGTAAATACCTTTATTTGCCATAAAATTAGTTCGTGTTAAGACCCGGTTAATAACATAAATAATGTATATTAAATAAGAAAGTTTAAAAATAACTATTTAAAAAGATATAATGCTAAGAAATATTTAGTTTTAGCTTGACATACATGCTGAACTAAAAAACTTAAATTATATATTTTTTTGTAGGTGGTACCGGGGACTTCGGAGGTCCAAATGGTTGCTTGTATTTTAGTTTTCGTAGTATTTTCATTTGTACTTTATACAAGCTTAAGCGTAAGTTATTTAATATGTAATTCACATTTACTAATATAATAAATTAAATAATAATAATTTATCTATTCATTGTGAAAGACGTGAAGTTAAATGTTACAGACCAATGGAAACAGTCGATTCACGGCAACTGCCTCTGCTATTCGGCAGATTTGGTCCGGCAGTTGCCGATTGTCCTGCAGACATAGTCAGTGCAGTACCCTGAGCGGACTGAGCGGCCTGGCCCAGGGCCATCATACCATCGACGAAGATAGTGTTCCTGGTCCTAGTAATGATTGTATTTGTGAATCATGTCCTTGTGCACTTATTGAAGACTTTCTCAGGTTCGTACATGCTTAGAGTGGGTATAAATATTAGGGTCCGAGATGCTTGCCTTGATGAGGCAGCGGCCCAATCAAAGTGGCCGGAAACATGCGTGTACACTCATATTCTTACACACCTGAATAGGGCAAAATAGGTCGCCTTAACAACCGATTTAGGGCTTGTCCTAAACAATCTACAAGCCAGTATAAAGGCCGCTGGAGCTGCGGTAGAATGATGGCGCGACCTAATGACTCCAACATTGGCGCTCGTAGATACACCATATGGTTTTTTAATGGGTAAGAATTCCACACACTCCCTCATCAACCCTCTGACGTACGATCGATCCTTTGAAGAGTTATCCAATGATTTAAAAAAGTTATATATATTAGTGCCCAGGTCACCAAGATGCCACGAAATAGAAATCTGGCGATATGTTGATGATCACCAACACTTTCCGATTATTATTAATGTACTTAATTGAGTATTATGTGCACGAATAGTTTTGTCTTCTACCTTTCTACCTTATTTGTGCTCTTTCTACCTTTCTGTCTACTCTTTCAGGAAATGCAGTCCCGCTACTAATGTATATTCACAAATTATAGAAATACTAGCAAACTACTATGAAAATGTGGTGAATACGGTAGGAGACTAAAATTACTCGTAACTTGGAAACAGTATTAACAATTCTTATTTTAATTTGTAATCAGCTAACATTGCAACCGCATGTCTAATATTTGATACCTTAAATTATATCTGAATGTCAAATAACATCATGCTTAGCCTTCAGTATTTGTATCAAGCCTTTTAGCCTTTGTAGTGAGTCGTCTACATCTACCATTATCCTAATTACGTTGGCCGCAGAACAGCTTCCAATCAGCCCTCTAATTTCGTTGCTGTATACCGAAATAATTACTTAATGGATTTGTATTATTTTGTTTAATTCCGCTACCATTATCATGGTAGAAGCGTTACGACCTACCCCGGTAGTGATCAATCTCCGACCTAGTGGGCAGCGATGTTCAGATTGTTCAGTTTTTCGCACTGCATGTTTGTGGTATAACACATACAACCCCGTGTGGAGGCATAGGAGGAAAACCGTAGGGTTTATAGTAACTGGAAGTCTCACAGTACCTGTCCATTCAATCCCTGAGACATTTTCCCTATGTAAAAAACGGTTAATTATACAAAGATTTTATTACAATTCGTTTGAAACCCACGCAAACGATAAATAACATTAACCTTTACAAAATTAAGTTAAATGTACTTCCCTTTTAGGTTACATATCTGTACATGTACTTGAATAGAGTGGTCGAGTGTCGGACATCGTGCCAGAGACAAGCTCAGGTATATATAAAATATGTTTGGAATATTAATAAAGGAAAATAAATAAAACAATGACGTTATCAATAAAATAAATGCATTTAACATTAAAATACTTGGAAACGATAGTGTAGTTTGGCTAGATAATATTTACAATATTAATATTGATAATGTTATTTTCAATGTTATGGAAGACTATATAAGTTATATATAACCTAAACTTCATTCATTGGCAGCTAAACTCAAACTAAGCACAGTTTATGGCTCCTAAACAATTAATAGTAACCTAGCATTTGCATTAGCTGTATGCACTATAAAGATCAAGAATTTGTCTGGATCTCTCTGTTGATAAATTTGAGAACCAAAAAAAATGGCGATTTTTAAATGTAATAACTGTTGCAATAAACGTTTCAGAAGAATGTCACTATTTTTTATATATCATAATGTTTCATACTAACATTTTAACAATATGCACATTCTTGTAAATACAAGTATCATATAGTATGAAAACACAATTTCAAATTTCTACAATCATTACAATACTATAACAAATATTATTTGTTTCAGTTCATTGAAAGTAGTAGCTACGATACTAATGATAATACTGATGTTAAAAAACATGAACATGAACACGGTGAACAAGACACGGACAATAAACGAAATCAATTGTATTCTGACCCTCAACCTGAAACGTCCAAACGAAAATCAACAGCATACGAAAGACTGCAAAATAAACTTAAGAGAAAAAATAGTAATATTTTGGAATTTGACAAGAAATCTAAGAATATTGATGTACCTAACAAAACAGACAACAAAATTTGCAAACAAGAAAATAATAATGATGACGTAGATAATGAAAAAGAATTTGATAATAAGAAAACACCTCTAGAACAAAAGCTTGTTATATCAGATGATACTTTGCAGACTACAGATGATTCCATAAATACATTAAATAGTTGTCCTAAATGTGTTGAAAAGGGGAGAGTCTGTATTCCTAATTGTCCAAAGGCAAGGAACAGTAAAAAACGATAGATCTTTTTTTGTTATTGATAATTTTGAAGGAATATCATTAATTTAATATATAATATAAAAAAAAAAATTGTTTATTCTATAATTAATTGGCATGAAGATCCACATAATGAAGATGCATAAATGAAAATATGTCTCGCTACTTTAGATAGTAAACTAATTCAATTTAGTAAAGATAATGAATTTGTTTCTATAAATTAATTTGCAATCTAGTGGTGTACCAGAGGAAAAAAGATTACAGTCGCCTATAAATATGAACATCACCACAGAGAATATAAAATATTTCTATGCTGTGATTGTTTCTTTGTTCTGAAAAGTAAGTAGTTAACTGTAATTTCACTACTTTATCTCACTGTTCATAGCAAAACACAACTTGCAAAGCAAACTAAGTAAATAGATGAGAATTACTAAATATAATATCAATAACTACATTTGCCATAAATATAAGACTTTTTGACAAGCAAAAGAACGTCTATTTTTTTTTATAATAGATGATAATGGAATGGTGCACCCGTCTGCGCTAACGGTATACACTGGCGGGGCACCAGTGGAGGACGATGAGTTTGAGTCAGGTCAGTTAGCCCATTGTGGCAAATTCACAATGATGGTTTCCAAGTGGAATCGTTTTCAGTGGGAACCTGACATGGTACATTGCTAGCAACAATCCAAAATATCTTTATTCATGTAGGTCTATAACAGACTCTTATGATATGTCAAATCTACCGTCAATTCGGAATGATTTCGAGATAGAAAAACTGATAAGAAACTCAGCTCGTATTCTTTTCAAATAAATGTTGTACATGTTCTCTGGTGTCATCCATAAATACATATATTCACTTACCACTTTCTTAAATAGAGGAAAAAAAATTATAAGAAATCTCAAGAATTATTGATTAAAAAATGCTATTATACAATTTTAGAATATAAAAATGACATATTGAATTAAATATTATACAATTTTAATAATTAAATATATACAGTTTCAATTTATTAATTACTACTATTATTACTATTATTATATATCCAATACTATAATTATATAAATAATAACTCGTCCTCCTCTCTTCTCTTCCGCTTGCTGCCCAACAGGGTCCATAATTAACCTACTTTAAAATATATCTATCTATCTATCTACTGTAAAATGAATGCAAAGCTATAATAAATAAATAAATAAATGTTTACAATAATACAGATTCATTATAAATTCAAATTTGGGAGAATACAGTGACCCCCATCAACCCCCTTCCTCCAATATCCAATACATATTTACATATCTGTTTGAATCATAGACTTGGAATAAATACTATTTAAGAAGATATTTGAGATTAGCAAAAGAGGTTAGTCTACTGATGAAGACTTCTGTCTAAGTTAGACATTAAACGTCAATTAATATAATTTTAACATTTTATTACATATTAACTCTAAAAAATAACATACAAAAAAATTACTGCGTAATAATTCGATTCATGTAACACGTTAATAAAATAGTTCAAAAACATCAAAGAATTTAATATTACAAACTATGCTTGTGATATAAACTGTGCAATTTTTTTATGGTTGTAAAAATATGCCACCTGGTAAGAATCTTACAAATAGGCATAATGCCCAATTTACACTCACCCCGAGTGGGCAGGGAAGTGAGCAGCGCGAGAGTGTAAACACGAGTGGAAACACTTCCCATGCCATTGGCGCTGCCACTCGCGCTGCCCGGCGCTCCCTCGATTGTCGGTTTTTCGTGCGCGAGCCAAAGGACTGGCAGCGCGAGTGGCAGCGTGTTTTTACATTCAGCCCTCTCACTCAGTTGTCCCCCGGCAATATTTCCGGCAGCGCGAGTGGCAAGAGAAGCGGCTGAATGTAAACGTAGCATAAATTATAAACGCGAAAGTTTGTGAGTATGGATGGATGTCTTTTTTTTGGATGAATGTTTGTTACTCTTTCATACAAAAACTAATGAAGGGATTTTGATAACACTACAGTAATATAGCTTATATATCAAAATAGCACATAGGCTACAAGTATCATGCGAGTAAAACCGCGGGTAGTAGCTTGTATTTATATGTTTTGTAAATTTATTTACCGTACATGTATATTAATGCAATAATTTGATTTACGTCCTTATACAGTCACCCAAAACGAATCATTCTTCACTATAGGTTATTAATATTGTTAAAGCGGTCTAAAACCAGTAAAATGTATGGTAAATAAAAGTATTTACCTATCTTAAATTAGTGCTAGTTCGTAGTTTGTATACATACATTTTAACTAAATAATGTAAAGTTACAATATTTATTTAAAAGAGCAACACGCAAGTTTCTTGCTCGTTCTTCTTGATATGAGACAGCTCTCCAAATGAGCGGTAGATTAAAAAAATAAGTAATGACTATTCAAAAGTGCTTAAATGTAAGTAATAATTTATAAACTAAACTAGTTTAATAGGGCGGAAAGGTAATTGATAGTAATGTGGACTGATGATCTTATTGCTAGCAATGTACCATGTCAGGTTAACTTCCACTTGGTTCCACCTGGAAACCATCCTCTAATTTCTTGGTGAATTTACCACGATGGGCTAGCTGACCTGACCTCATGCTCATCTTATCACCCTCCACTGGTGCCCCGCCAGCGTAAACCGTCAGCGCAGGCGGGTGCACCATTCCATTATCATCCATAAAAGAAACAAGTTTCACCATTTTCAGGTCCTGATGAATGTTTAAAGTTGAGTATAACAAAATTATTTCTGTTTGCAACTATTACTATGTTTGTGCTGGTGAGTTTAGTATTTATCTTTTCTTTCTTTTTTACCCAGAACCAACACAGCGCTATCTAGTCCCAAGCTAAGCAGAACTGGTGTTATGGGTACTAGACAACTGATACAAAGATATATTTTTTGTAAATTCTAAAACTACTTCTAAAACCTTGCTTTGGTCGAGTGCAGTGATGACTCGCTCAACCGTCATGCTCGTGAACGAGTGCTGCTTGTAGGGACTGGTCTGTGAATCACTACTTCTGACTTTCTCTTATTTATTTACTCAACCAGTTGGCTGTGTCCTTATTAATTTAATAAATGATTAGTGCAATGTAATGGTCTCGGACAGTGCGGTTTCAGAGGAGCTTCCTCCCGCGTACACTTAGATTGTGGAATGAACTACCTGCAGAGGTTTCTCGAGAGACTACAGCATGGGGTTTTTCAAGAAGGGTATATTAAGGTTTCTTAAGGGTCGGCAACGCATAAGTGACAACCCTGATGTTTCAAAGACGTACCCTTTTACCATCAGATGGGCCGTATGCATGTTTACCACCTACGTGATATAAAAAAAATGTAAAGTTACTACTAAATTATTTAAAAGAGCAACACGCAAGTTTCTTGCTCGTTCTTATGATGAGACAGCATACCGAATGAGCGGTAGATTAAGAAAAAAGTAATGACTATTCCAAAGTGCATAAAATTTAAGTTTTTTGAATAAAGAATATTCTATTCTATTTTATTCTGTATTTAGTTTATTTTTCATCCAGTCGCATAAGAAAACAGATTACATATATTATATATATCAATTAAAAGTAATTAATTTAAAGCAGATCTTAAAGAATTATTATGGTCTGCGAAAATAATGTGATGTTATGAATGTTTCCATAATTATTTATGACATTATTGTTTCAGTATTTACCATTGGGTGATCCACAGACGTACTGCAATAATTTTAATTGTTTTCAAGACCCAATTGCCTTGTGTTGTCTATGTGATGCCCATGACTTTGTCTCCCAGTATGTATTTAAACTTCATTACATTAATACGCAAGAAAAAAAAATTGTACCCCTTTTTACCCCTGAAAATTGCGCAGCCACAGAAGTATCATAAGTAAATGTCGCACACTTATCTATACATATAAATAAAATTGGAGTGTCTGTTTGTAATATTGAAATAACCGTTTTTTACTACATGCATATGAATATAAATACGAAAGATACATCAAAAAACCACTTTTTAAAATTTTTGTCTGTCTACCTGTCGGTCTGTTTGTTCCGGCTAATCTCTGAAATGGCTGGACCGATTTTTACGGCACTTTTTTTGGCAGATACTTGATGTAATAAGGAGTAACTTAGGCTACTTTAATTTCAGAAAATTCTTTTTTTTTAGAAAAATAAAGTTAAATTCCACGCGGACGAAGTCGCGGGAACAGCTGGTAGTTTATATAGAGAAGGAGTGATATTATTTATATATTATATAGAACACTAATATTTTTGTTACTTTGCAAGAAAAATACATAAAATAAAAAAAAATCCTTACACAGACTATCGTGTATTTGACACACACACGCATATATACTGTTTTCTTGATTGTTATTGATGGTTCAAAGATCTCTGTGTATTTTTTATTATGCTCGAATATCGACTACTAATAATAATATCACAGGACAATTCACACAACGCCATCTACTCTCAAGCTAAGCAAAACTTGTGTAATGGACTCTAAACTGATATAAATACATAGATACATTTTTTTCTATTAAATACATACATAACATACATTTTCTATGGACATCCGGACCGATGCAAACATCATACACATGAGAGAATTCATATATTTGTACCGTGCAAGGAATCGAACCCGCGACCGTAAGTAATCCTGTGTGCTAAACCGCTAGAACACCGAGGTCGTCAGATTAGATTATTTGTCATTCCAGTTAAATAACTAACCTTCCTCATCACTCTACTGCTAAAAAATGCATTAAAATCCGTTGCGTAGTTTAAAAGATCTAAGCGAACAGACAGCGCAAGCGACTGCATTTTATACTTATTATATATATATTTGTTTTACAGAATGGCTACGAAAACATTGTATACATTCGACTTTTTGTCGTGCAAGTTAATGGATTTCTTATACGAAATGAAGTTGAAGGTAATTTCAGATTTTTTATAGCACATGTATATATAAAACTACTTACAATGGACATAAAACACAAACGGGGATAAACGAGCTTGCGGCTCACCTAAGATGGTAAGTGATTACTACCGCCTATTAACATTATAGCATAGGAGACAAACGCGCTTCCGGCTCACCTGCAACTGGCAACACCAGGGGACTTGCAAATGCGTTGCCGACCTTTTAAGAAGGAATAAGCTTTGCCCTGAATTCTTTGTATTAAATTTATGTTTCCGCTCATGACTCGGTCACGCACGTTTGTTTAAATAAACATTTCATATTTGTTGAAACTGCAAATAAAACAAACATACTATACAAACAATGTTAATATTACGTATCGAGGAGTTTAATCTTTTCAGTAATTTGTATCTGTAATTATATGTTTCACATTATCTGCGACATTCTTTGGAAATAATAATAAAATTTCTAAAAGAACAGTAGCTTAAATTAACACAAACTTATAATCAAAGCTTATATCATTAGCTATCTGCGAGTGAAAGTCCAATCAAAATCAGTACCCGCGATTTTCTCCGCGTGGAATTAAAATAAATAAAATTTCTAAAAGAAAAGTAGCTTAAGTTAACACATACTTATAATCAAAGCTTATAGCATTAGCTATCTACGAGTAACAGTCCCGTCAAAATTGGTCCAGCCGTTTCAAAGATTAACAAGAATAAACAGACAGATATTTTTTTTTTAATCACGTTTTATTTAAGTATGCATTTAGTGAAAAAAAATTATCTAATTTGAAATTGCAAACAGACACCTCAATTTTATTTATATGTATAAATATATAAATAAACATAATTCCTAAGATACATATATATATATTTCCTTTAAGGTCTACAGTTTTGTGGCTAAAATAGATCAATACGATTTATGTCGAATTGGATGTTGTCCTGAAACAGTGAGTATAAACTTTCTACCAGCTTTTACCAGCAAATTGTATTTATTTTTATTTGATAGGAATAACAAACTACCTGATGGTAAGTGGTATATGTCGCATATATACATAGCACTACAGACATCACGTTATCACTGTTAGCTTGATAGCCAATACAGTTACATAAAAAAAAATTTAGAGTTTTGTCTAATAATCTTCATAGACGCACTATTGGATCTTGCATCTGCATTTTCTGCTTGGATCCCATAGTAGAGATGTTCAAAGGATGTTGCGGAAAACTGCTCATGTATAATAGTTCCTTACGTAACTCCATCGATCCCATAGTAGACTCATAGGATGACCAAAGGATGTTGCGAAATACTGCTCGTGCAGTTCCATAACTACGGCAAAAGGTAAAGAGAAGGAACAACTTGGAGTTTTTAGACGGTAATAGTCCATCAAAATCCTTCTCTCCTTTCAAGAGAAGGATTTTCCCCAAATAAAAAAAGGATGTCCAAAGGATGAAAAGAAGCACTACGATATTTCTACCCTAACATCATTTGACAGCCCTCAAGACAGATAATATATGATATGTCCCAAATAAATGTATTTTCTTATTGATTAAAAAACGTACCAATACAGTTTCTTGTTAGTTCTTCTCTTAGTATTTAATTGAATTAGTGATAACTGGTAGTTTGTATTCACACACTTCAACTTAAAATGTAAACTAACAATAAAATTATTTAAATGTGCAACACGAAAGTTTCTTACTCGTTCTTCTTGTAATGAGACAAATTTCCGAATGAGCGGTAGATTAAAAAAAATGTGATGATTATTAAAAAGTGCTTCAATGTAAGTTTACCGACAGCCTCGGTGGTCTAGTGGTTTAGCACACCGCTTTACTAACCGATGGTCGTAGGTTCGATTCCTCGCACGGTACAAACATTTATATTCATGAGTATGATTGTTTGTATCGGTCTGGGTGTTTTCTATGTATATTATGTATTTATTTACAAAAAAAATGTATCCATGTATTTATATCAATTGTATAGTACCCATAACACGAGCTCTGCTTAGCTTGGACTAGATGGCGCTGTGTGAATTGTCCTGAGATATTATTTGAATAAATGATTTTCTATTCTTTTTCTATTCTATTCTATTCTACTCAAGTAGTTAACTGAACTGGCAGGCAGGGTTAATGAAAAATGGGACATATGGATCGGACTTTGATTTTCTTTCTTTCTTTCTTTTTTCAGGAGAATGAAGAAACTGGGATCAAAAGATATAGTTCAGTTCGATCTAGTTGCAAATGTAAAACCAAGTGTTGTAGACGTGGAGCGTGATGTTGTGATTTGTTTTAGTTACCCGAAAATAAAGTACTTATTACAACATAACGAATTATTTTAGTCTACATTATCAAATCAAATCAAATCAATTTTAGTCCTACATAATCAAATCAAATCAAATCAAATTTTATTATACAATGTTATTAATTATTTTAGTCCTACATTATCAAATCAAATTTTATTATGGAATAATAATTATGGAAAAAACTACTGAACGGATTCTGATGAAACTTTACAGTCATGCATCTTATACATCAGAATACATCTTTATATATATACAAATACAGTCTGTTACTGAGTGTATTACATATCTATACATATAAGTAAAATTGGAATGTTTGTAATATTGAAATAACTGTTTTTTACTACATGCATATGAATATAAATACGGTACATACACCAAAATTTAATCTTACCATTTTTGTCTATCTGTCTGTTTGTTCCGACTAATCTCTGAAATGGCTGGACCGATTTTGACGAGCCATTTTTGGTAGGTAGCTGATGTAATAAGGAGTAACTTAGGCTACTTTTATTTTAGAAAATTATTTTATTTCAGAAGAATGAAGTTAAATTCCAGGCGGACGTAGTCGCGGGTACAGCTAGTTAACAATATATTGTTCGTCAAAAGAAAATCATTTTACAAAATAATATGATAAACTCACGCCAATAACCATAAAATCAATTTTACGACAATATTTCATTGTAAACACTTTATTTTTATAGGAAACCAAAATAAACACGATCAACACCACGCCAACCAACTATTTTCGTTGCATTTTTTTTCAGGAGTAACATTAATAGGATGGTATGGCTGATATTTAATGTTATGTTATCAGTTTTCTTGGTGAGAACAATTTTTTTTATTGCACAAAATACTGGCACTCTATAAAGATTGTTTATGGTCAATTGAGTGTTGTATGGAATGCTTTCTTTTTGATGGCAACTCGTCTCTGTGGTATAGAAAGTTATAGCATGTAAATTTTAATTTTTAACCGACTTCAAAAAGAGGGGTTCTTTCATAGCTCTGTTCTTTTTTTTAAACGATTTGAAACAAAAACAAATTCAAAAGTATACACTCATATTAGTCCCTAATTCTTTAAGATTTCATAGTCAATCTATTTTCACTTTTGTTATCTATTTTTCTCATTCTGACAGACGAAGATCACGTCTTCTATCTTCTTCTTTCGTCATTTCTAATGTTATGGTTTAAATTGTATTGATTTTTTTATGCAGTTTTTAAAAAGATAGATGTTTGACGTGTAGTGTCATCTTATTGTCTGTGGCATCTTAGCTCCTAAACGAATAGATCAATTATGATGCGGTTTTTTTATTTAAAAGATGACGTTAAAGAACTACATTTCATTAGAGTTTTATTACGGTAAAAATTTAAAATTCTCGAATTATAATATCAATTTTTTATTACATTTATTTGTAAAATAAAAATAATTCTTAAAATTCATTTATAGGTGGCTAGTTGTTTAGAATTAGAGAAAGAAGATGTCGACAAAGTGATCGAAGAAGAAATAACACAGAAATTGAGTGAAGATTTACTTCAAAGTATAGAAAGGAAGTTCCAAGTAGATCTTGAGAGGTAAGTTTCAATTTACTAGTGGAAAATTATTTCCGAACTATATTTAATAGCAAATATACTATTAATTACAAATTATGGATTAGATCGATCGGTTGATTTTTTAAGTCTGTTACGTTACGTAGCGAATTTAAATTGGATGGGTGTGCGCTCCAGTCACAACGCTTCTTTTGCGTTGCGTTTTGTTGCTGCTTGTACGCGACACTTATAATAATATCACTTGGCAATTTATACAGCGCCATCTAGTTTGGAAAGATAAGAGTTTGTATTATAATATAAAATCATAAATACATTTTGTTTGCAAATACATAGAAACATATTACACATAGAAAACATCGAGACCAATAAAACAATAATATTCATGAATACAAATGTTTGTACAGTGCGAGGAACTGAACCCGCGACCATCCGAAAGACGATGTGCTAAACCGTTAGACCACCGAGGCCGTCAATATATACTATAGAAAAGAACTATATCTATACATATAAATAAAATTGGAGTGTCTGTTTGTAATATTAAAATAACCGTTTTTTACTACATACATATGAATATAAATATGGTACATACATCAAAATAACATTTTTGTCTGTCGGTCTGTGGGTTCCGGCTAATCTCTGAAATGGCTGGACCGATTTTAACGGGACTTTTATTGGTAGGTAGCTGATGGAATAAGGAATAGTTGTATGGTACGGTAGCTGATGTAATAAAGTTTAATTCCACGCGGACAAATTCGCGTGTACAGCTAGTCCGATATAAAAAATATTCGTAACCATAACCGAATCCGAAATAAAAGTTTCGGATAGATATCCGATAATGTCGGTTATGGTTACGGAGCTTCCTGTATTAGATCTAATAAACCCATACATACAGTTGGCAGCATCTCGGCGTCTCTAAAATCCGTTGATGTATGATTGGCTGGTAACTGAATTGTTTATAGTGATCTAAATACAGTCATATCTCTTGTTAGTGTAAGCTCATAGACAATATATTTCTATACTAGCACACGCTAGTTCAAAGGCCTCCCATAACATCCCTGAATCTCATAATATATCTCTTTAAAAACAACGCTCTCTTAATTGCACTATTTCAGTATATTTACGATATAGTACTTTTCTAAAATAGACATTAACGGCCTCGGTGGTCTAGCGGTTAAGTACACCGCCTATCGGATGGTCGCGGGTTCGATTCCTCGCATGGTACAAACATTTTTAATTTTTGAACTAGCTGTACACGCGCCTTTGTCCACGTGGAATTAAACTTTATTTTTTTTTAATAAAAGTAGCCTAAGTTATTCCTTATTACATCCTGCCAAAAAAAGGCCGTTAAAATCGGTCCAGCCATTTCAGAGATTAGAATAGAATAGAATAGAAAAAAGACACAGATTTGTACTCCATTTCATTGAAATTCATTTATTCTGATGCATAAGCTATATTACTGTAAAGTTTCATTAAAATCTGTTGGGTAGTTTTTATTAGCTCATCTATCGCTTTTATAATATTACTGCTCGCGGTTTCACCCGTGATGAAATTCATAGCCTATATATTATTCTGATGCATAAGCTATATTACTGTAAAGTTTCATCAAAATCCGTTCAGCAGTTTTTGCGTGAAAGAGTAACAAACATCCATACTCACAAACTTTTTCGTTTATAATATTATTAAGATTAGTAGTTAGTTACCAAGGAACAAATGAACAAACTTATTGTCTATTTTATTATATATGTACAGGTAAGAATAAGAAAAGGATTTGGTATACGGAGAAAAAATTATATTGGGATAGTCTACTGACATATATATAAAACAGAATAGAATGAAGTAGCAGAACAGGAATGTAATATAAAAGAACTATAAATTTATATACAAATTTAGAATATAAAACATTTCTTATTAACCAGTTACAACATTTATGCTGTTGAAATTATACATAGTTTTACCCTAGATCTATAGATACGGTGCTGATGAAGATTAAACTATTATTGCAAAATGGGACGGCGCATATACAAGACAGAGTGGTGGAGTTACAAGGACTTCTCGATGTAATGAAAAGGGATTCGGAAAAAGAGGTAATATATTTGGAATTGACTATTATAGAAATAGAAATAATCTTTATTGAAATAAACTTAATATAAGCACTTTTGATTAGTCACATTTCTATTCTACCGCTCATTCGGAACACAGTCTCATCACAAGAAGAGGAAGAAACTTGTGTGTTGCTCTTTTCAATAAGTAGTTTTAATTAGATTTACATTAACAAGGATTAGGCATGCTACAATCAATATAGAAACCTCTACGCACTTAATCTCTGTTCAATCAGATAACATTGTCAGCGCTATGAATGTTAATTTAGATATTTTCTACAAAAACATTATTATCATTTATAAATTCTTCAATTTTATAATAAGCATTTTTATACAGAAAATACTTTATAAGACATTTGAATCTTTTTTCTGGCAAATTGAGTACAGACTCTGGCAGTTTGTAAAACCTTACGGCAGTTTGTAAAACCGCAATTTCCATATATTTTGCGGAAGTCGAAATTACTTAATGCTTCGAGAATGACATCAATTTTATTTGAATATTTTGTAATAATATAATATATTTTGATTGATTGCGTGCAAACTCAATCAACAAATTTAATATCACAATTCAGATTTCCACTAGCTATAATTAGATAGATAGATAAATAAATTCTTTATTCACAATTACAGACACATAACATACATGAGATACAGAAAAAAAATGAATTAATAAAAGAAATGTAGGTGACTTTATGTGCCGCAAAAGTGAAAAGGTAGCCAACTCAGCATAATGCTACAGATAACTCTGCAGCGCTGATATTCTGTTGGCTCCTTACTTATACCACTTATACTATACTTATTACTAAGAAAATTAGATTGTCGAAATTTTAAATACTGACTATGGCATTTACAATAAAGGTGGAAACCTGCTTAGTGGAGAAACAAAATGAGACATCAGCTCTGGCGGAGAAAGCTCTCCATCAGATGGTAGTCTGTGGATACGCACTCATTGGCCACGACCCAGCTGAAGCTGTAAAGAAGGTCATGCAACTTAAGGACTTAATCAAGAAGGGACTGGAACCAGTAAGTAACTATTTATTTAATCTAAAGTCTAATATTTAATTTAACAATTAGAAATATTATTCATGTATGGCTATTACAAATCCTGAATGATTAACATCATAGTCTGAATTGAATCTGCCATCAATATTTCATCTAAAAATTCTAAATAACTTTATTCATGTAGATATTGTAAACACTTATAATCATAGTACAGTCAATCGCAAATTTATAAACAATTATTTATTCTTAAAGTTGTTATATTTTCTGGACTCCTCTGCATGTCTTATTTTTATTACTATTTCAATTCTTCTAGCTACAGTTGAGATAAACTGGCAAGAAACTCAACTGGT